GGCTGGAGCAGGCGGCGGAGACTGTCGCCAGGCTCAACCGTACCATCGACCAACATGTCAAGGACGCGGAGGAAAAGCAGGTGACGTCACAGTTCACACCACACATATGCAATGTTCCAGGTCGTAGACTCATCACATACAAACGAAAGACTCTACGTCTCCCTTACCTGCATTTTGCCTTATATTAAAAAAAAGAAGATACAAAAAAAGAAAAAAAATCGTAAAAGTGAATTTCTTGTAAAGTTAAAATACAACGATTTTCTCGATAACGTAAATTTTATTTACATAAAAAAGATTGGATTTGATAGACATTAGCATTTGCAGATGTGTAATATGTTACACATCTGCAAATGCTAATGTCTATGAGCAGTGATCGCTTCGCTATTTTGGCGAATAACAGTCTCCTTATACAAAAAAAGATATAACTTCTTCTCTTGTCTCTTATTATGTGTTAAAACCTCGTTAGAGCCGATCCATTAGCAGCTTATACTCTTTTATTAAAAAAAAAATCTCTTCTCCAGATGGCAATAGACAATTTAGAGAAGGACAAGCAACATTTACACGAGCAGTTAGCGGGCGTACGCGCAGAGAGCTGGAAGCCGCACTCTTTGACACGGCCAATCTTCTAGAAGATGCAGAGTCTCGCAGAGCGAAGCTAGAACAGCAGCTGCAGGATCTAATGTTGCAGCAGGAGAACGCCAAAGGTAAGACTCGAAACCAGGAAGAATTAGTTAAAATTGCTTATGGACTGTACTAAACTGTAAGTCTTCTGAAGGTCAGATAAGTAGACTGAACAAGGAGCTGGAGGTGAGCGAGAAGAAGCTGCGTGAGACACGCAGCAGTATGCAGCAGCAGTCAGGAAAGAAGGAGGCGGAGTACCAGCAGATCATAACTAACATCAATCGCACCACCAACGAGAATATCACCAAGCTTAAAGAGGAGAAGGTAATGTTCTTAACCAACAGGTTAAGAGTTTTTATTTTAATGACGGTTCTATGCCGCCCTGTTGTTCCTCTAACAGGAACACCTCTATACACCCGTACATTTATTTCTTTACTAGCTTTCGCCCGCGACTGCGTCCGCTTGGAATTAAAAAGAACAAAAGTGAAAAATAACTCATCGAATTCCGTTCAGTAGTTTAGGCTACAAACATCCAGCCATCCATCTAAACTTTCGCATTTATAATATTAGTGAGATTAAAAGATTTAAATGGAAAACATTTACATGGTTAAAAAAGTGCAGTGGTTTTAAGCAAATTGAAACTAATTTTTTTGGGATATACTCCCTTGATTATTTACAATAGAATAGAATAAACAGTGTTAACACATTTTAGGAGCAACTTCGTCAATCTCTGGAGCAGAAGTTAAACCAAACAATAGCAACGTTAACGAGCGAGAAGGAAGCATCGGAGGCGAGCGCGAGGGAGAGAGAGAAGAAGCTGCTGGCGATCCGCGACCAGCTGATGCTGCAGCACGACGAGGCCATGCTGCGGGCTGAGAATGATAAACAACAGGCGTTATTAATGGGTAAGCAATTATATATTAGAATATTAACTAATACTCAAATGAAATTGTGACGAAAGTTGGAATTTAATTAATGTATGGATAGAATCTAGGCTACGTCTAGGTGGGGCTACCAATATAATGGTGTTATTCGCAGTAGTTTTAATACGGGCCCTTAGCGGCGTCCATGATATATAACTATATAGTTTTTTGTTCCTCGATTTTAAAAGGTAGAGGTTTTAATTGATTAACTCTTAAACGGTCATAATGAGTTTCTGAGATGGAAAGTATTTTCTCCCTCTACCGATCAGAGTCTTTGTTGCATGCTGTTTTCATGCGCCCGACCTATTTTATTACTGTAATTATATACAATAATTTATTTTTGGTAGTATTTCAAATAAAAAACTTTGCGAAAATCAAGTTTATGTATTTATTACAAAAGTAATATTTTTTACTTATGACAAAAATCTAATTTTATTTTTTATGAAAATCACTGAAAAAATATATACTAAGGAGGTGAAAATATCTCCTCTAATTTATAAAGGGTTAAAACAGGGGGGTGCCACTTAAGTCATTTATAGAACACA